GGGGGGGGGTGCGGGACCCCCAGGGTTCCCAGCAGCGCGGCGGGCCGCCGGGGGGGGCAGAGAGCGCCCCGCGGGAAAGGGCCCCCCCCCCCCCGGCCGCCCCCCTCCCCGGCGGGGGGGGGTCTGTCGGGGGGGGGGGGGGGGGGGGCACATCCTTTTATATGCAAGCAGACTTACTGAAGTGCGTTTGGAGTGGGGCTTTTTCCTACAGTTTGCCTCTTTTCTGTAATTGAAAAAAACTGAAAGGAGTTTGGTGACACCTTTTCCAGCCCACAAGGTTGACTAGAAGCCATACGCCATAGAGATGGGGAGGGTCCTGGGGGGCAGACCCTCCTTGCAGCACCTGAGCATGAAGTCAGCTTCCCAGCCAGGTGCTCCCCTCATTGTCTGCAGGGGGGGGGCTCGAGGGGTCTGATCCCACCGGCAACCATCATTGAGCTGGAGCACCGATTGGCACAGCCAGCTTCTCCAAGTTGGCTTCTCCATGCCAGTCACCGTTCCTCCAAGGCAGGGATGTGGGGCGTGGTCCTCCTCCCCTTAGCCAGCCCTCTGGGGAGGCAGTTGCCACTCATTTTTTCCTGCCATGCAGCAACACATGTCTTTTCTGACTTGGGTCTCTCTCAGGTCCAGCTGTCTGGATTGGGCGGCAAATGAGATTTCTAAAGCCACCAACACACAAACTACAAATGTCCTTGTAGGCCAACGTCTTCCCTCTGCGGTGTGCCACAGTAACGCTCTCTGGCTACCTCCGGGGCCGTTTTATTTCTGTGTTTAGCACCCACAGAGTGGCCCATCCAGTTCACTGATGGGGCAGCCAAAGGAAGGAGCCGGTCTTTGGGCTATGCTTTTTCGGTTTGTCTGCATGTCTGCATGTTTTTGTGTTTAACCTGCTGGGATTGGCAAGAGTCCTGTCCCATCCGCTCTCCTGGGGTGGCACGGGGATGCAATGGGCAGGTTCAGGGAGCACACGGCCCGAAGGAGCGCTGGCATGGGGCCGCCAGAGCCATGCTGTGTGTGTGTGTGTGTGTGTGTGTGTGTGTCCCCCCCCCCCCCCCCACACGTTGGGCCTGGCTTCTCCTCTGGAGAGGCAGGGAGACCTGGAAAGCCAGGTAGCTCTCCCACCCACGGCCTCCTCCATCGCTGTGTCTCCTTGCTTGTTCCTCGAACGACCTGCACGGCCTCCTCGGCATCTCACCTCCTCCCCCCCCTTGGTCAGAGGAGGCCCATTTCCGGCACTCAGCTTGGGCTTTTGTGGGCACGTCGCCTGTGGGCCTTTCTGGGATTATGGTGCCTCCTGCGCTGCTCCTGGGGGCAGAGGAGCTGGTGTGTCCAGAAAACAAGCCGTGACTTACCTGTGTTCCTGGACTTGGTAGCCGGGATGCTGAGAGACCCCGGTTGGGGATAAGCCATCTTCCTTCTAAGTCCTAAAGGCAGAAAACAGTTCAGTTACGGCTTCCTTGTGGCTACTAAAGAGCCTTTGATGGAATTATTTCACATTCAAACCCAAGTGGCCTGATATACCTATTAAGAGGGCCCTGCTGTGCCCGTTGCACCCTGACCCTCTCCTTCTCAGGTTTTTACCCCCAGGTTTTTCCTTTCGTTTGCTGAATAATGTATGACTTTATCCATGGGGTGGGACTTCCATGCATTTGGATGTTTGTTTTGTTGGTGAGGGTGATGTACCACCACAGGGACTGTGGTGAGAAGACTTGGCTTATGGCTAATGGGGCATTTCTGTGGCCGGCTGCCTGGGGTGGGCAGCAGCTGCTCCTCGTTAAAGCAGGCCCTCTTTTCAGGCTTCTGGGTGCTATAAGACTTGCTTTAGTTTAAGGAGATTCCTCCTTAAAGCAGCCACATCTTTTTTTCAGGCTCATGAAAGTGCAGGGAAAAAACATGGCTGTTTTATTGATTAGGCAAGAGGTGTCGTGCCTCTGTTAGAATCTGATTCCGAAGGGGAGGCGGAGCAGTTGACAGAGAGTGGGAGTGTGGCTCCGTTGGCTGTGGAAGAAACTGGGAAAGGGCCTTCAGAGGAAGACCCAGGCCCACTCCCACTCCCTCTTCATCCTAGGGCACGCAGGGAGGAATGGAGAAGGGAGCACCGTGGGTTGCATGGCTTACGGGGGAGGAAAGGGCCCTGATTCCCTTTGTTGAGGTTATTCCCCGTTAGGAGAATGAGCGCATACAGGGAGACGTAGTGAGAGAAATGTTGAATAATCCCCACACAGCACACAGATACACTGTACGGTAAATGTAGATTTTTACTTTCAATAAACGTTTTAGGCAAAGTTCAAAATAAGCAGTCCAAAGTCATTCACAGGTAAAATCAGTCAGTTTTCAGTCCAGGGATAATCCAATAACAAAGTCCAGTATCAAAAACAGGTCAGTATCAGACTTACATCAAATCCAAGAATAGCAGTCAAATAGGAGGAACGGCAAAACTCTCCAACAGAGGGAAACAGAGACTGGCTCACACTCTCTTCAGAGACTAAACAACCCAGGTTTCTGGCTCCATCTTATGGCCGTTTGAGAAACCACAGCTAATTACAATTTTAGCATTCCCTTAAAATTATTAAAATATCTATCCTAGTTTATATATTTCCAACCCAAATAGCTGTTAGGTCACTTACATTCCTAACACCCTTCATTAACCGCAGCTGGGAGTACAGTGTTTAAAAAGGGAGTTTGCGCACAGCAACTTGTTTGAAACAAATTGTGTATTATCTTGTTTTGTGGAGGCTTATCTGGGTTCTTGGTGTCTTCCCAGCTGTGTGTGTTTTGTTGGCCTTTCAAGTCTGCAATTCCTTATCCTGCCCTGTCCAGTTAATTGCTGGGAGAGTTTTTTTTTCTCCAGCCGAAGGTAACTAACTGGACATTGGGGGCAAAGTTGGAGTATTAAAGGGACTCTTCTTACTTAATGTGACTGTGTTGCCTTTGTGCCACGCCCCTTTGGGTCATCCCAGAGGTGCTGTGTGCCCATGAGACCCATAGGCCGATTTCCAAATGCCTTTTGGGGTGCAGACCCTCACAATGAACTATGCCCCTGCGGCTTGTTCAAGTAAGCATTGCTCTCTGTGATTTGAACCAAGGCATCGCCGAATAATTTAAGATAAATTATGAAGCCCCTCACTGATCATGGGGAGTCCTGCCCTGGACGGGAGGAGGTTCCAGCTCAGGAAATCCAAGGGGGCAGGACGCAGAGCACCCCCTTGTCTCTGGGGCACACGTCCTCCTGAAAGGAAGGGGGCTTAGAGCAGAGGGGCTCCCTCTGGGGCGCTGCCTGCTAGCAGAATCTGGCTGGTGCCACCATCTGGCTGGGATGCTGGGGAGTTTCAGATCCCATGCAAACCGTGTTTGCGTTTGTCACGGGGCTTTCAAAGATGTTCTTGCTGTGAGAACTTTCTAGCGAGTGAGTGAGTGAGCTTGTTTTCACTGAAGTTTCTATTGCCCCCAACTGGTACCGGGACTCCTGGTACCAGTAGCTGCATCTCCCTGCCCAACTACCCAAGTCTTCCCTCTGCACGCAGGCATCATTCCTTCCCTTTCTTCCAAGGGAAGGCTCAGGAATGCCTCCCCCGTCCCCCGTGACGTGCTGCCTGTAGAGACGTCTCCCGGTGTGCGCTTCCTGCTGTGTGTGTGCCTGCATGTGCCTGTATGGGGTGGCTGTTCCTGTGATCCCTGCACCGGGTCAGCCAGGGACCTTCTCCTCCTGCCAAGAGGATCGCTGCCCCGTGGCCCGTTCTCTCCGAGGCGCACCCAAGCGCCCTTCTCCCACCGGGCAACCCGCGTTTGTGCCTCCTTCAGGGCTCCTTCTTGCCACTCAGGTGCCCGTGGACCTGGCAACAGGGTGGCGGGGGTGCCCACAGGCAGAGATACATGCCCCTCCCCCCCACCAGGCATCTTTTGGACCAGGCCAGAAGCGTTTCCCAGGCCTCGGAAGGGAGCGAGCGAAACAGGGACTGGCCAGAGAGTGAAAACTTTACTGAAGGTCCCTCCAAGCATTACATTCCCTCGCCCACCCCCCATGCATGCACAGGCGGCTGGTTCCCGGGGGGTGGGGGGCGTTCCTGAGGCTTTGGCAGCCATGGAATTGCAGAGGGCAAGCACAGACGGACAATCCGCTGCCGGTCTCTTCCCTTCTTCTCCAGCGTCACAAGTTCTTTCGCACACAGAAAAGCAACTTAGATGCTGCTGCGCTGGGTGCCTTTTTTTGCCCCGCCTCCTCCCAGTTTGTATTCTGCAGCCAGCAGGAGAGGCCTTGGCAGGCCCTGGGGCCCCCTTGCCCCCCCTCCCCCACATCTGGCAAGAGCCAGGGGATGAAGCGCAGGCTGGCGCTTGTCCCGTTGGAGGGGTGGCATTGGGTTGTGTGAGTGAGCGGTGGGCCAGGGTGCCCGAGAGGCCGGCCGAGCAGCCGGAGGCTCAGGGTGGCTCAGGGGCCTTGGGAGAGGTGGAGGGAGACCTTTGGCCGTTCTCCAGGGTGGGCAAATGCCAGGGGGCTTCAGCTCCAGATTTTTCCTGGTAAAACCGATGATCCCGATCGGATGATTGGGCCCTCCTCGTGCCCCAGAGCGATGGGCCCCTTTCAGGCGTCCGAGATAAACCAGTAGAAAGAGCACCTTCTGGGGAAGCTGTTTCGGCTGCGGCCCTCTGAGTCCATGATTAGATCATCCAGCATCTTCACGAGCTGGAGATACAATTCTGAGACTGACTCAAACCTCCAGCCGCAATGCCTGCAGGACGGGAGTCCCGGACTGTGTTAAAGGTGGGGTGGATTCGCCAGTTATCCAAAAGAAGCTTCCTTCCATGGAATTTTACCTATTTTGCTTGCCATTTTTTGCTTTATATGCTTTTTCTTTTCTTTTCCATTTTTGTGCTCTTCCCCTTTGGAGGCAGTGAAAGTGGCCGGAGCACCCCAAGCATCTCTCTCTGCTCAGACAGCAAGTCTGCATCCTCCCTCTATCAGCAGGCACCCAAACATTTTCATATTCCAGGTAGGACCCATGACGCCGTTCCCACCTTCCCTCGGGGCCATCGGGGGCTCTCCAGTCCTGTGAGGCAGAATGAGCAAAAGATGGACATTGGCAGGACTAAGATAGGAAGGGAGGAAGGGAAGAAGAGGAAGGAAAGAAGAGAAGGAAGGGAAGAAGAGAAGGAAGGGAAGAAAAGGAAGGAAGGGAAGAAGAGAAGGAAGGAAGGGAAGAAGAGAAGGAAGGAAGGAAGAAAGGGAAGAAGAGAAGGAAGGAAGGAAAGAAGAGAAGGAAGGAAGGAAGGTAGGCCTAGGGGTTGTAGGGAAGGAAGGAAGGGAAGAAGAGAAGGAAGGGAGGGAAGAAGAGAAGGAAGGAAGAAAGGGAAGAAGAGAAGGAAGGAAAGAGAAGGAAGGAAGGGAAGAAGAGAAGGAAGGAAAGAAGAGAAGGAAGGAAAGAAGAGAAGGAAGGAAGGGAAGAAGAGAAGGAAGGAAAGAGAAGGAAGGAAGGGAAGAAGAGGAAGGTAGGCCTAGGGGTTGCAGGGAAGGAAAGAAGAGAAGGAAGGAAAGAAGAGATGGAAAGAAGGAAGGAAGGGAAGAGAAGGAAGGAAGGGAAGAAGAGAAGGAAGGAAGGAAGGAAGGAAGGAAGGAAGGAAGGAAGGAAGGAAGGCCTAGGGGTTGCAGGGAAGTCATCAGAGATTTGTCCTCTCGTCTGTTTTTGTTTGACTCATAACAGAGATTTTGGTAACCTGACTATTTTTGAAGAAAGAAACAGACAAAATTTGAGTACACATCACCAATTTCAGCTCAGACAATTTGAATGTAATCCTTCTAGGAATGAGGGAAACTTCTGGAGTCTAGTTTGAAAAATTGTCCTTCGTGATAAAAGACATGCCGATTAATCTGAGAAATCCGTGCTTTAATAGGAATACGTGTGAAGAGTTGTGAGCTTCACGTTGGCTTGGATCCCAATATTTTGCTCCCCGAATGAAGGGCCACGGGGCTCACAAGGACGTTGGTGCTTCCCTTGGGGGGAAAGCACCATTGTCCCCCAGTAAAATGCGGAGTCCAATTTAATGACCTTGCTTGAGACTTTTGGGAAACGGGGCGGGAGGGCTCCAAAACAGAGAAATCCTGTTTCCATTGCTTGTTTCTTTCTCCCCCCCCCCTTTTTTCCTTTTCTTTTCCTCAGAAACTGGAGTAAAAGATAACATCTATAGGAAACCCCCCATCTACCGACAGCATGGTACAGTCTGCTTTGCGCCCCTCCCCTTCCCCGCCCCCAGGGCATGGGGGTTGCTGCTTTCTGCTCCTGGGGTCAGTTCTGGGATGCCATGGGGGCACTTGGTCTACACACACACACACACACACACACACACACGGTGGCCCTCCGGCCTGCTTCCTAGGAAGGGTCTCCAGATTACACAGGGCCCCTTGATCCAGGCACCCCGTCTCATCTGGGCCCCCTGGAGAGCTGCCTGGGGATGCGGGGGCTTGGCTGCAGCCTCCCTTCCTGGACCACCACCACCCCGAGAAGGCTCCCCAGGCGGCCTGGCCCTCAAGTGCCCTTTAGGACCGCCTGGGAGCCTCCCGCTCTCGCAGCCCGCTGCCTGGCAGGGCTGCAGCTTGGAGGCCCAGCTGCAGCCCAGCTCTCCTGCCCCGCGAACAGGCTGCCCTCCCTTCGTGAGGGAAGACCTCCCCTGTGAAGGCGGCCTCCCAGCAGTGGCTGGCACCGTGGATGCGCCCGCTTATCCTTCCCCCTCAAGAGGGAGGGCCAGGGAGCCCGTGGGGAGCTGCCCTCTGCAGCCTGGAGGAGGCCTTGGGGGCTTCTCCCTCTTCAGGGGGGCGGGGGGGGGGGGGACACCGGCGGGGGCTCTTGCAGGGCTCTGGGATTTGGGGGGGCAAGAAGAGCGTCCTTGGTGCAGAATGAGTTTTCTCTTCCGTTCCCTTCTGGGAGGGGCTTAGGTGAGTCATTGAGGCAGCCGGAACTGGCGCCTCGGCTGGGACCAGGCGCTGGGCCTCCTAGTGGGCCCAAAGGGGGAAGAGGCCGCTCCCCTTGTTTCTTAACCAGACCCCGCAGGCACCCTGGATCCCACCCAGGACCCCTTGCAAGGGAAGCAGTTGCCATGCTGGCTGCTGCTTCCTCTTTTCAAGGGACCCCGGGAGGGCATCAAGAGGTCTTCTGCGTTCGGAAGACGTGGCGATGCATGTAGAGCTGGCTTCTTCAAAGAGTTTGTAGTTGCTCCGCAGCCTTCGGAGAATGCCTGAGTGTCCTTGTGCAGAGGGTTGCTTGTATAGGCCAGAGAACGTCTCATCAAAGGCCTTTGGCTTTGGCTGGGCGGCCCCTCAAGTGTTTTAAAGGGAGGGGGGAAGCGCCATTGGATTGCATGCTCGACAGGGCAACACCAAGAATGTTTTGTCTGCCGAGAATCGAAAGGCTCTGCTGCTGCTGCTGCTGCCTGGTGGCTCCCGGATGACCTTGCTGGCTTGTGATCCCCCCCCCCCCCCCCATTTCAGTTTCTGGGTCAAACTAGCTCTGAGCTGCTAGGTCAGATGGTGCCTGTCAAGGTGGAATTGGCCCTCCTCATTTGAGAGATGGACACTTATGGTTTTTGCTCTGTTCGGCCTAGAGAACCAATAAGCCACGGCTGCTTTGTAGTGCTTAGAAAGTGACCCTGCCAGCTTCATGGGACTCCACCGCCCTCCCTCCTCCAGGGCCAAATACCACCCATCCCCACAGGCACACGGAGGGCTCTCTCTCTCTCTCTCCCAGAGCATCGCGTGGCCGGAGGTCCAGCCCCGCCTTTGCTCCCCCCCCCCCCCCCCCCCCCCCCCCGCGGGGCGGCGGGCCCCCCCCCCCCTTCCCCCCCCCCCCCCCGTGCATTCAGAGCCTTGGAGTCCAGGTTTTATGCCCCAAGGCTCCAGCCCTCCCAACCCTCACGATCCCACCTAAACAGCCCTGCTTTGCAAGAGCCGGTGGGGTCCCCATGGCAGGCACTGCGGAGGGAGGCTGAGCGATGGAACCAGGCGGCAGAGTTGAGCTCCGGGGTGGCCCTCCATGGGAGCACGGCTGCCCCAAGGCGAGCCTGACTCATGCGGAGGGAGAGCGCGTCGGCCGCTGCCTGTGCCAGGGCTCCTCTGGCTGGAGAGCTGGGGGCCGAGGGGGCGGCCCTTCTGGCTCTCTCTCCCCTCCACCTGCTCCATGCAGGGGAGAGGGAGGTTGGGGCTGGGAGTAGGACGAGGAGCCCCGGAGCTGCCGAGAGTAGAGACGCCTCCCTCCCTCCCTGCATTGCTCCTTCGGGCCATCTCAACTCGCAGGCCATTGCCTCCCACCCGCAGGGGACCCAACCGGTGGTTTCGGCAGTGACCCCCCCCCCACCTACTCACCCCTTCCTGAATCCCTTTGCCCCCCTTCTGCATTTGGGGGCAGGGAGAGATTTAAAACCACAGCTTTTGTTTTTTACCTGGGGCCCTTTTCTTATTGTCCAGCCTCAAGGAAACCAGATGGCGACGACGGGAGTTCTGACCAAGACAGCAGGAAGGTAAATTCCGGTGACCTCCCGGGAGGCTCCCCAGTGGCAAAAGACAGCCCTGTTTTGCAGTCTGGTGCTGCGTGAAAGCAACGGAGCTTGTACTTGACTGTGGTTGTGTTCAAAGCTCGCCTAAAGGGGAGCCCGCTTTCCAAGCAGCCCTTCCTGAAGAAAGGCCCTTTGGGCCAAGGCACCACAGGCCGAGTGAGACAGATGGGGATGCCTGGAATCCGATGGGACGGTGCGTCTGTTCAGTCTCCAAAGCGATTAGAGTTTGGTCCTCCTAATTATCAGTCTGATCATGAATTAGGCCCAGACGCGACGCAGGTGGGTTGTTGCCTTTCATGCCTTCAAGTCAGTGTCTGTTCTTAGCAACTTTTTCCTGCAATTTTCTCCTCCAAAGTTTCAGCCACGGTTTGCCTGGGGCCAAGAGGGTGAGGCTGGCTTGGAGTCTGTCTGTCCCTCCGCTCCCCCGAGGCTTCAGGCCTTGACCCACCACACCAAACTGGCTCTCCCGGACCCCTTTAGCTAGCCGATCTGTTCCAGGCAGGTGAGGGCTGAGCTGTCCAGTGGGCAGTTCCCAGCTGGAGGGCTGCAGGCCCCTTTATGGAGCCCGAGGCTGGAAACCAGCCAGGGGACGCTTCCCACCACCAGCCCGGAAGTCCTGCGATGACATCCAGCCCACCCAGTCAGCCGAGGGGCATCATGGAGCCGAAGCCAAAGCAGACCCTTTAGTGCGAGGCCTCTGTCCGTGGAGCCTCAGATGGGCCCTTAATCTTTCTCCTCCAGGGCTCAGCCCAGCCCTTCACCCCTCTCCCGCTGGGCCCTGCCCCCCCTCTGGCAGGATGACCCCCTTGGCAGGGCTCCGGCTCCACCACGGGCCTCCTTTGCAACCCCCAAGTGGGGACACACCTGTCCGTGATAGCCTCATGCAAAGGATGCAGTCCATGTCCCAATGTCCTGGGGGCGATGAGGAAGGGGTAACGTGTCCTCCGCCCTCTTGTGGGTTCCTGGGGGGGGGTCCCTTCGCTTAGCCCCCTGGTGCCATCCCTGCTGCCCCCCCCCCCATCAGCCCCAAGGGGGAAGGGCGCTTTTTTCTCTGCAAACTCCCTCAACGAATGAGGCCGGCCTGGCCAGCGGTGGGGGGGGGCATCTGAAATTGAGGGCAGCCGCCCCCCCTCTCCCTTCTGATCAAAGGGGAACTGATGTCCCCCTTGGTAGAAACCGCTGGAAAAGGGGAGGAGAAACGCAGCTTCCCTGGTTCACCTAAAGAGCCGCCCAATCCCTGTGGGCCTCTGAGGAAGCGCGAGGCGTTGAGTGCTGGCGGTTGTTTCTCCTAGTTAAAGTCCAGCTGGCTGACTCTGAAGGGGGATGGGGACTTTCGGACAGACTCTCCTGATCTGGACACTCAGTCGCTGCCTCAGAGTCCTGGGACAGACCGGCAACTCCAGCGGCTGCAAGGCAACACCAACTGCGCCTACCTGCGTAAGTCCCCAGCTGCTGCTGCCAGGCCTGCCGTGGGGTTGGAAGCTGCCTGCCCTTCTGGGAGGTCCTGGCCAGGAGACCAGAAGAGCTCTTGCTCGCTCACCCGGCCCGGCCTGTGGGGCTACAGGGAGCGGCCCTTGCGCACCGGAAAGGGCTTCCCGCCCCCTTGGCCTTTAGTCGTCCTTGACTCACAGCCACAACTGCAGTCGGCATTTCCGCTGCTAAGCAGAGCGGCCAGAAAGTGGGACATCAGGTAGCTGCGTGGCTCAGCCCCCATCACCTGGGCCGCCCCTCTTCCCAGCTCTCCTTGTTGCTGGATTGGCAGCTGGACGCTTTCGCCACAAAGCAACAATGACCCAAACCCAAACTGTGGCATAACAACAGGGTAGCTTGTGCAGGTGGGAGAGTCGGCCTCCCTGGAGGCCCTTTGCTCTAAGGCCTCTTTGTTTCCTGCCGCTTCCCTAGCCGAGCGCGAGCTCCTCTGCTGCAGGAAGCAGCTGCCTTCATGAGACACTCTCTCCCCTTCCGTGTCTTTGCAGGATTCCCGTACTCCAAGTCGGCCTCTCTCCCCGACTACGGAAAGCAAGGGCTGCAGCACGTAGGTAGACGTGAAAGGCTGGGCCACTTCGGGATGCACCACCGACCGAGTCCCCGCAGCCCTTTTCTCGCACGGCCCATCCTCTGGCTCTTCTCCCCCCCCCCCCCCGCATTCTCTCCCTCCCCCAAAGTTTTCAGCAGCATGAGGAGGTTTTGCAAGCACCGCTTTGCTTTGCACCCCCTGCCCATCTCCCAGTTGGGAGTTGGGTGCGGGATCTCCCAGAAGAAGCTTGCCCTCCAGAAGGCCCCTCCCCAGCGTTCGGATTGTCCTTGATTTCATTCACCATCACAAAGGATTTTATTGTACGAGCCCCCCTTGAAGTAAGAGCTAAGCAGAGTTTCACTTGCGGATAGTCCCTGAGTTACGCCCCCATGTGGGGCCAGAGTGAATCCAAAGGGGTTCTCAGTTTTAAAAAGGCAGCCGGACTGATTTTTTTTGAGGGAAAAGAAGACTTCTGTATCCCAGCACTCCCTGTGTCTGTCGTGGAGCGAATTCTACCGTTAGTTAGCCGAGGACCAGCCCCCATGCCAGTCCCTAAAGGGGCTGGGTCCCTAACCGCCTCCAAAGGTGCTCGACAGGTGCTTGCCCTGGGATGCCCGCTGGGCGTGTGAACTTGCCTAGGAATTGACTCCCACGCAACCCCCCCCACCTCACACCCAGCCTTTCTTCCTCTCCTAGGCTGCAGGGGCCCCCCCGGATGACCAGGAGGCTGCTTGGGGAAAGAGAGGTACTGCCCAGCCCCCCCCAGGGAAGCGGGGTGGGTGGGAAATGGGGCTTCTCCTAACCGAATCTCTACCCCAACCCACCAATGAGGCTCCCCCAGCCACCTTCAGAACAGGCTCGGGGGGCTCGATCCGAACGGCCCTGCTTTGTGGGTCAGTCCAGGCTGGCCTCTGGCTCCGGACTAGCCCCCTCTCTGGCCAAACGGGCTGCCCCTCTCCCCCCCACCCCCCCCCCTCCCGCTGCCCCAGAAAGCCGCCCCCCCCCCCCCTTCCACCTCCCCTGGCGCCTGTGCTGCGGTGCCACCCTGGGGCCCCTTTCCCCGTCTCGCCCCGCCTGCCCTCTCGTAGTGTCCAGCCTTCCCCGCCAAAGTTTCTTAGCCCTGGGCACCTTGGGACCAGAAGGCAGCTGGTGTCCCTTGGCCTGGCTAATCTGGCCCGTCCCCGGAGGTCCTTGTGCACCTGCCCAGCCTGCCCGCTGTGGGGGGTCCTTGGCCTCCCTGCCCAGTGCAGGACCAGCCCTTGCTCTGTCCCTCCAGGGGGGCTGCGGCAGCTGTCCTGCCCCCAGACAAACAAGGAGAGACACCCCCCCCCTTTCCCCCTTTTTTGATGCCCCCCGAAGTGCCACTTCCCCGTGGGCTCCCTCTGTGCAATGGCGGTAAAGCCGGGAAGCCGCCCATGCTCCTCCCCCCCCCCCCCCAGAGGAAAACCTCTCCTAATGGAATCTGCCTGACTTGTTTTCTTTCTTTCTCTTTTGCAGAATACAAGGTAAGGGAAGCTATTTCAGGACATCCAGGCATGATGAAATCCAGGCTTCTCATGCAAAAGTGTGTCGCCTTCCTCCTTTACCCTGTGTAAAAACTGAGCAAGTATGGCCCCCTCTCTCAAAAGGGCCGCAGGGGCCCCGTTTTCCCAGGCGTCGGTCTTTCCCCTTTTCTCTCAGGTCTATCCGTACGAAGCCCTCATTGTCACCAACAGAATTCGAGTAAAGCTACCAAAGGATGTGGACAGAACCAGACTGGAGGTAAGGAAAGATGATGCAGCTACTCTGGCTTTCCGGTCTCATGCACAGAGGTGGATTTGTAGCTGTGCAGATGCAGATAGATCAATTCCACAAAACATCCGTAACAAAGTACATTTATTGGTACATCAGGTATCTTCATAACTCACATTTGTGACGAAGTTCTTCTATAATGACCAATCCTTTGTCCAATCAGCCTTGCAGGTAAAAGATGGTTATCTCCTAACCCATCTCGTAGCAGTAGAAAAAGCTGCTATCAATTCATGAGTCCAGGCAAGAATGGAGGGAAACCTCCCCCAACCCCTCGAGGGTCAATTTAGTGACCAATTGGTATTAGAGATGTGGCCACGTGACATGAACTACATTTCCCAGGATACCTTTAACTACATTTACCATGATGCATTCCCTTAAGGGCACAGCTCATAATTCCTAACTAACTATCCAATTCCCATAGACTGGCTGGGACAGCACACTGGCAATTAATTGCAACTATGAAGGAGCCCCCCTCACAGAAGCTCCAAGATTGGTTTTAGATTGATAGGTTTCGTTTTGGTTTTTTTCCACACTGGAACAACTGTGGAGGGCCAGATTAGAAAAGAGTCTTTTGCGTGATTTGAGAGCCTGCATGTGATCTAAAATCCTGGAAAAAGGATAACCACACATTTTGATGGCCTCTCCTGTTTAGTCATTTTAAACTTGCTAAAAAAGAAATTACAGCTGGAGAACTTTTTTACTAGGACTTCAAGACTCTATGCTTGTAAATGTTAATAATGGTGTAATTTCATATGCTGCGCAGTTACGGATGCTAATAGCCTTGAGCTCTGCACCTGTTGAGGTTCACTATTGCCTGTCAACAATTCGTTAATTTGAGGAACTGTGAAAACTGACTAAATGATTAAAATTCCAATGAACCTCAAACTCCATATTTTATAAATGTCTCTCTCCCTCCCTCCCTCCCTTCTTTCTTTCTCTCCTCTCTCTCTCTCTCTCTCTCACACACACACACAAGTAGACTAAGAAAGCAGAATGAAGCGCTCAACTTGCAACAGATGAATGAGATTTATCTGCAAGCTTAACCAAAAAAAGATGTATGGACTGTAGTGATATTAAATTCTATAAGGGACTTAGCCATGCCTATTTTTTAATTTATTTGTTGCAAAATGAAAAAAGAGAAATAGAAAAAGAAAGCAACAAAACCATAGTCCACTTAATAAGCATTCGGTGTAACTTTTGAAAGCACTAAACTTTGACCACAGAAAATACTGTTGATCGGACTTTCTGCTCCATCACGAGAAGGCGGGCCCTTCTTTTTAGCTGCTCTGTAAATCCACTGCTTGCAGTGGTGTCCCGTCCCCAGTTTCTAGTGCCCTGGGCATGGTGGGCTCAGTCCTGTGCGCTCCATGCAGGGGGCCGGGCATGGTGGGGCATCTCCTGCTCCCCTCTGCCCTGAGAGCGGAGGAGGAGGAGGAGGAGGAGGAGGGAGGTGAGGGGCAGAGCACTTCCAGAAGCTTCTTCCCTCACAGCACCCAGTGCCAGGCAGCTGCTACAGCTCCCCTGTTGCTGAAGGCGTGAATTGGTTCGGCTCCTGGCTTGAGCCTTCCAGAGGATGGAGGATGAGATTGGGGGAACCCATGAGTGTACATAATTCCAGTACATAATTCAAGAACGCACCCCCACCTTGAAGTTGTTACTAGAACCGTGTGACACTGTGTTGACGAACGTACCTAAATTAGACCCAACCGAGAGAGCCCCCGTGGGATGAAAAAGTCTCCCCTCCCCTTTTCAGGTTTCAACATTGTGAGTTTGCTAGGCAGAAACCTTCACGGGTGGTTTGCTCCAGCTTGTGTTTTTCTCTTAATTCTACAATTCTAGTTAAAATAGAGCGAGGGGTCCTTGCGCGTTAGGTGACAATCTCTCCAGGGAATGCTCTTCACTTGACTTGGAAAAATGTCCTTTGAGGGTGTGATGCTCCTGCAGATCAACTGGGAGGGCGGGAAGCCAGGAGGAAATGGGGGAAATTGCATTACAGCCAGTGAGGGGATGGACTAAAGTAAGTGTGTGTGTGTGTGTGTGTGTGTGTGTGTGTGCGCGCGCGCGCGCTTTCATATGGATGCTTCCCAGAGGCAGATTCAGATCAGTCCTCCTGTTTGTGAGCCAAGAACTTTCCCTCCCTCCCTCCCTCCCTCCCTCCCTTCCACCTACCCCAGAGTGGCCCACTTCTATCCACCGTTTCCTCCAGAGCTCTTGGGGTGGGGGGGAACCTTCCCAGTGCCCCCCCCCCCCCCGCCTAAGAAAGCCTCCTTAACCGGATGTGCCATTGTTGCTCTGTAAAGAAAAGTGGATTGATCCACAACTTCTGCCCCTCTTGGTTCCTGGTCTGCTGCTCAGGGTGGGGTTCCGCCTCTCTCTGACGCCCTCGCCATGTGCCATGTTCCCTCTCTTCCAGCACCACCTGTCCCCCGAGGAGTTCCAGGAGGTCTTCAAAATGAGCATGGAGCAGTTTGAACGGCTTGCACTTTGGAAACGCAACGAGCTGAAGAAAAAGTCTTTGCTTTTCTAGCCTTCCCAAAACGAAGAGGCAACGTGCTTGACAGTCAGCCAGCTCCGTCCTTTCTTCCTCCTACCACCTGTGTCCACCTGCCGCTTGACCTCCTGTCGCTTCACTGTATTTGGGCAGAAGAATAGACCCCACGGGAGGTCTGGGGCCCTCTCACCCCACCCCCACCCCCGCCAGGTCATGAAAGGGTGTGACCCGTCTCGCTTCCACTTCCTCGCTTTATCCATTGCTTGTCGCAAAGGCAGAACCAGGCCCGGAAACCTCAGATAGGAAAGGAACCGCAGTCATTCCAACCAAAGCCAAATGCTCAGCTACTGTTTGGCCTCTACATTTTTGGCCTTGAATACAAAGTCAGAGTGGACGAAAGGGGAGGGGGGGGGACTTCCCCCAGGAGCAAAATAAAAGAAAGCCAGTTTGAAAAAGGTCAAAGAAAAGCATGTCAGAAGCTCACATGGGCAATGGTTGTGTATGGCACCTTTTTAGAAATAAAATGAGAGCAAACCTACCCTGTAACGTGTTGAGATCTAATTTTCTCACATGCCAACTGGCAATTCAGACGCCAAGTCCTGAAGGATGAAAAATAGTTATAAAACCTTTTTATTTTTTATTACAACTAGAGCGTAACCTAAGCGTGTCCAGTTTGGCAAAGTACAATTCATCTTAGCTGATGGAACTTTATTTAAAACATGTGAAATGTTTACATTTGTGGAACGAGATTCTCCTCAATTTCAATTCTAGGGATTATTTAGAAATTCTGTATTTACAAAAAAATAGTGCATTCTACTGTGGAAAAAGCCACCTCGCGACTGTGCAATCCTGGCTGTGTCCTATTTTCCTCCACCATTTCACACCCACCTACCTAAAACGTGTAACCTTCCGATGCACCTGTTGGCATCGTCATTAAACGATGCCTTGTTTCTTCATTGACCGCTCTCCGGGGCCGCCTTCCCCTCGCCTTCTGGTGGCTCTGGGCAGCAAAAGGAGCCCCCCACTCAGTCCCAAGATTCCCTCCACCCACCCACCCGGGAGCCTCGCCGGACGGCTGCTTCAGAGCCTCCGTCTCCCCGCAGGGGGAACTTGTGCCTGGCAGGGTCGGGGGTGGCGGGTCGAGGGTGAGGGCATTCCTCATTTCCAGGGTCCTTCCAGCTGGGCGACCTTGGGCCACCCTCCCCCCCCCTCAGCCCAACCCACCTCACAGGGCTGCGGTTGTGGGGAGCATCGCAAGAGGGAGGGAGGAGCATTGGCTGCGTTTGCCACCTTGAGTTATTTGCCCCAGTAATCAAGAGGTAAAACTTAAGTGCAATGAAAGTGGTGCCAATGCAGCCCAGCTGACCTGGCTAATCCCACTGCTGCGTGGAGGCCAGTTGGAAAGGCTCCTTCTCCTCCTTGTGAGCCACTGGAGGAGAATTTATTCTGGCCAAGGAAGGGGGAAACTGGGACTGCACCCCCTGCCCCTCCATGGGGCAAACTCCCCCCCCCCTTCGTGGCTGGGCTGCCTTCACCCCCATTTCTCTGCCCTTCCCTTGGGGGAGAGGGGGGCTGTAGGGACAAAAGCAGCGTCAGGATTGTCTCGGGGGACCAGCAGGGAGGGCAGACTGTGAAACATCGCCCCCCCCAAAGCCCAGAGGCGGCCGCAGGAAGGTAGCCAGAGCTCCAGCCCTGCCGGGGGAGACGTTGTGCCGCATTCTCTGTTGTTGCAGGAAATTACGAGACTCAGACCTTGGAATCCAGAAATAAGTTGGTTTTATTTTGCGCAAACAGGTTCAGAGTATTTTAGCGAGAGTCACTTCTGAACAACTTTCTTATTGAACAGCACATGCCTATATGCTTCTTCAGAAGGGGCAAAACACATCAGGTATTCCTTGGTTACTTGAAACACAGCTTTCCCCATCCCCTGTTGCTAGGCTAGGATGGCTGGATGTCACAAACCCATCTTGCTAAACTCCCTAGCTTGTGGTTTTGTTACAAGCGAGACAAGGTATCTTGGCAAATATGACTTTTGTGACTGATAGATGATCCTTGTGGCTTGGCATTTCACACTTCCTTGTTCTTTCTCTTGCTGAGGCCACATATTTCACTATCTATAAAACTTGTGTCATTATTTCTCTAAAATTAATATATTTTTATGTCCTGCCTTACTGTGACGGTGAAGACGGAGCCCAGCTGGATCCTTGGAAGGATGGACAGTAGCTGGCAGGGTCTCAGGGACCGAGAACCAGGGGCCCTCAAACCCTTCGCCTGCCTGCCTGCCTCTCGGGGAGGACTCGGACCCAGCTGGGAGGGCTGAATCAACATGGCCCGGAAGCTCAGAAGGGCCTTCCGTGAAATCAGAGGAGGTTAAAATCCAGAGAGCGGGTGGCCTGAAAGGCACCGGAGGAGGCTCAGTGCACCTGATTGGAAAACAACCGTTGGAAGATGGAGATTCAACGTTTGTCACAAAGGAACAAGTCTGCTTGGTGACCTGGGTCCCTCTGTGGTATGGAGCTGGGGGGGTCTCATCTGGGGGGGGGGCTGGAAACGGCCCACCTGACTCTGTGCAGATCCAGAGGGAGATGGGAACCCAGCGCCCCCTCCCCAGCCTTTCCTCCCAGGGGGTTTCGTGGGAGGGGGAAATGCTTGCAAAGAAGGTTCTGCTGAGGAGGTAAAACATGCTCAAGGCCAGCAAATGCAGGGTTTTATTTTCGCTTTCGCTCTGAGTTCTTTCGAAACCTCCTTTTTTCATCAAGCAGGTGCGATTCTTGTCACTTTGGGAGAGGTTGCTCTAGAGGGAGCATGAAAGCCCAGTTGCTGTGTGAAAGGAAGGCCTGGAGATGCAGCTGCCCAAATGCGGATGAACTCTCAGAAGTTGAGGGAGTGAACATCCTGGCCCTTCCCCCAAGAGAAAACGTCTTAGGAGGCCAATATACTGTAGGAGTGAAAAAGACCACAAGTACATCGGAGACAAAGTGGAAATGAGGCCGTCCTGGATGGATGGGAGGCCAATCCTGCATTGGAGGGGGGCTCCGGTATTCACCCCCATTTAAATCATGAGCCTCCAGCCAGGTCGTTCAGAGCTTGAAGATGATTTATTAGGAGCGAACATGCCGGTGCTTCCTGGGTGTAGCCGACTCTGAGACACGTAATTCATTGTCACCCTTGACCCTGGTTCCCCCCCCCCCCCGGGTGTATCATAATTCATATTCTCCAATGGGACACCTCCATATCCCAGAGTCAATCCCATATCAATCAGTGTGCTGTCCCAGCCAGTCTATGGGAATTGGATAGTTACTTGGGAATTATGAGCTGTCCCCTTAAGGGAATGCATCATGGGAAATGTAATTAAAGGTATCCTGGGAAATGTAGTCCATGTCATGTGACCATATCTGTCATCCTGACCCTCGGGGTTGGGGTAGGTTTTCCTTACTCTTGGCTGAACTCATGGACTCGTGGTAACTCTTCTACTTCTATGGCTACAACATGGGGGGAAAAGGAGAGAAGATAAATCATCTTTTTACCTACAAGACAGATATACAAAGGATTGGTCATTAAAGAACTTCGTCACAAATGTGAGTTATGAGGATACCTGATGACCCAATAGAAGTACTTCATTACGGATGTTTTGTGGAGTTATCTGTCTGCATCTGTACAGGATACAGAATAGTAAAAAAATGATTTATATCAGGCTCTCCAGTTAGAATTTTGCACGGCAGAAACTTCAGTTCCTAGGAATGATCTATGAAAGCATTTAAGGAATGCACTACTTCCCCTCCCCTCCCTTTCTGCTGGCAACTCTTAAAAGGCCAGAGAAATATTGGATGAGTTGACAAGCCTTTTACCATAATCAACAAGGTTCCTTTTCCACCTGAGATTCTTCCAAGCTGAAACGCCAGAGAAACTGAAGGTCTTTGTGGAGAACCAGAATCAGCGCCAAATGCTTCAGAGCCTCCTTTCCGTCCTCCAGCATTCCCTCACATGGACTGGCAGGGTTCCCTGGGTCTTGGCTGGCACACACGGGGTCATATTCTGCTTGGGGCCCTCGGGTTGAGTTGCATTGTCTGAGTCTGGCATTTAGGAATCCATGCATCTCCCTGCCCCCCCCCCATCCTTTCTAAAGGGTGCAAAGCCGTGGCCTCTTCTTTCTCTTCTCGTGGCCGACCTCCCCCCCCCCCCCCCCCCCCCCCCCCGGGGCCCCCACGCCCCCCCCCCCTCTCTCCCCCCCCGCCCCCCCCCCCCCCCCCCCCCCCCGCGCCTGCTGGGGCTGTTCGGAGCAGACCAGGGGAAAAGGAGGCGGGAGGGGTCATTGGCACGGATGGAGGGAGGGGCACAGACCTGCTGGGAGTGGGGGGCTCTGGCGAAGGGGGGGCTCCTACCCTGAGTGGGGCCATATTAACCTGGACAGGTGTTAACCAGCAGTGTAAAGCCTGGGCCTTCCAAAAAATACACTGGTTACAGGTGCAGGAGAGAGGGTAAAGTTAGATGTGGGTCAATAAAGACAGAGAGAGAGAGAGGCCCATGTCCATAGCCAGCCAAAAGTTTCATTTTATTTTATTTTGTTTTGTTTTAAAAATGACACATTCAGAATAACATTTATATCTTCACCACACAAGCCAAAACTTACAAATATATTTCGAATGTGGAATATTTTGCACTCCCACAATGTCTCTGTTGGAAGAGAGGAGATAAATGAACGTTCAATGAGCTAAATCAGGATTTTAAAAAAAGAATTTCAGAAAAACAAGGCAGAGTGGAGATGAGGTACAGGTTTTTGAAGGAAGGTGGGGTGGAGGACAGTTGAGAATGCAAACTATTCCAAGCTTAGACAGGTAGCCAAGCCAGGCTCCAGAAATGAGGAGCCCCCCCCCCCCCGCCCAGCGCTCCCTTTGGCCAGCTTCCAGTTAAAACACATCCAGGAAGACGACCACAACTTCTGCGCAGGACCCTTCTAGCCTCCCTCTTGCATCCTCCACACAGAGAGCAATTGGGCTGGGCAAGGTGGGCCCTTCTCTGGCCAGGAGAAGAGGCTGGGTCCCCACAGGGTCTTGCGGGGCAGGGGGGCCAAGGGGGGTCCGTTCACTCCACCGAGGGAAGCTTGCAGCCCTGGGGGCTCCCAGGACTTTGTCCCCTGGACATAGGAAGAGCAACCAGCAAAGTCTCTTTGCGTGATATAAATATAGACCGTAAAGCCAGACACAACTATTCACACTCTTTCCAATAAATAAATAGATTAGGAGAAGAAAAAAAAACCCTATAGTTTTCTTCTTTTATTTAGTAGCTTTGGTCTCAAGTTCCTTCATCGGAAGTCTTAGCTGCCTATTCGTCATCCTCAAAATTTCTTTTGATTTCATCGAACCACCAAAGATTGCAAAAATACCCTTAAGCAAATAACGTCTGATTTTTTTTTTCATGTAATCATACCATAAAGGAGGAAATTAAACCCGTCACCAGAATCAGTGGGTCCACAGCATCTGAGGGATTAAAAATACTCTATTGCCTCCTTTACAAGACAAATGGCTTCCCTGGGGATGTCTGGGGGGGGGAGGTCAAGGTGGCAGCTGCAGCTGCACCACTAAAGCTTTGCCCCTTTAGGATGCCCTCTGGAGGTCCCAGAAAGCAGCCTCAGCCTCCGCCGTCCCTCGGGCCCCACCCAGGAGTCCTCCAGATGTCCCAAGTGAGGTTTCCAGAGGGCCAGCTCCCTCCCTGGCATCAGAGCCCACTGAAGGAGGCACTTATGGGAGGGGTGCAGACCCCAAGGCTCCTCCCCCTCCTCACCCCCCCACCCTCACCCTCCTGGGGTCCTCCCTGGGGAGAAGAGCAGGGGTCTCCAGCAGCCTGACTCCGCCTGTGTTCCTCACGCGATGCCTTCCACTCTCCCCCCCTTTGAGCAACCCTCAGGGCCTGCTTCTTCTAAGCCTCACCAATCGGAGGGTCTCCGGGCTCATCCCCCACCCCCCTGGGTCTCTCTGGGGTCCCACCACCCATCACCGGGTTTCTTTCTTTAAAAAGAAAAAAGTCATCTTATGCTTATTTCTAGTCCTCCGACTCAGAGGAGTGGAGTATTGCATAAAAATAAATATTTCCAAGCAAAGTGATACAAGGAATAAATTAAGTCTAGTAAACAAATAGTAGGTCTGATCTGACTTTTCCCAAACTTGGAACACCCCCGCCCTCATTTGACGGAGGGGAAGAGCAAAACTCCCCCTCACCTTTAGGTAAATTCCAGTGTGTTGCACTTCTTCACCCTGTAGAAAACACTGCAAAACATCGGGAGGAAGGAAGGGAGGGTCAACTCACGGACAGACAAGGAACCGGCCTCGGAGGCAGGAACAGCCAGCCACAAAAATGGCTCAGCCTCCACGTCACGTAACAAGCGATTCAAGGAGCCCTCGGGGCCATTCCTCCATCCTCCAGAGGAGGTCTGGTGGCAGGAAGAAGCGCTGCCTTTCTCTTGTCCTAGTGGAGCCCCGAAGCCACGGCAAGGACCGGAAGTCACAGGGGACACATGAAGAAACAGCAACAGGCACAAAGGGGTGGGGGGGGCTCCTTTGGGAGACAAGCAAGGATGGGGGGGCAGGGGAATTAGGCATCTTCCTTAGGCTGAATGCTAGTTAATTCCACCGCTGAGCTCTTGTTGCCAGTGGCTGGAGCAAAACCATTCACGGTTTGCCTCTCAAACCCACTGGAGATGTCTTCAAAAGTCCTGCCTTTTGTCTCAGGGACTTTGAAGAAGGTGAAGAAAAAGAAGAAAACAAGGAAGGCAACGAAGATCAGGAAAACGTAAGGCCCCAACAATTTCTGCAAGGAAGAGAAGGAAAACGTTATCTTTGCTCTGAGACGATGGAAGTTCAAGCGTACAGCAGCTCTGGCCTGCAAGGAGCCCAGCCAAGTCCTTCAGTCAACAGCCCATTTCCTCCCCTATCAAACTGAACCATCCCTTCCATCGTATCCCCTCTCATATGGCCAGACTAGATGGATGGCAGGCCATCAGAAGGAACACCTCGTTCTCAGGGTCACCCGAGGTCATCCCAGGAGCAGGAGTCCCAAGGATAAGGACCTTCCATGGCTTGGTTCTTCATGAGGAGCAGGAGCCTTGCTAAAAGTGAACGTTGACGCAACCCCTCTTCTACTTGGGTGTCAACTGAGCCATGGACTGCAGGGAAGCCCACCCTTCCTGTTCTCCCTCTCAACAGCCCTTCTGACAACAGCAGCAGCCGGCAGTTCTTGGCCCCTTGTCAGGGCTTGTGTTTTCCTCCTCCTCCTTCCCACCTGTGGAGATATTTTTGACGGCCAACCTCAGGGGAAAGGAGCCGACTTCACTGTGTTCACAACTAAGCCCACAGAGAAGGTCCAAGGTGGGGTCCTTACCTCTGCATAGGGAAAGAGCATGCCCACCAGGAAGTTGGAGGCCCAGTTGCAGAACCCAGCCACGGCCACAGCTGCAGGACGAGGGCCCTGGCTGAAGAGTTCAGACACAATGAACCACGGGATCGGTCCAGGTCCAATTTCAAAGAGAGCCACAAAGGCAAAAGTGCCAAAAATACTGATGTAGCTGATCCAAGGCAGTATGTTCTGCAAGAACAGAGGTGTAGAGTTAACCCCTTGTGATCCCAGGGAGGCTACAAGTTTTAGCATCTGCTCACCTGGGAATCAATCAACCAGGAACCTTTCTTGGGTCAGATAGTCCAAGCAGAGACTGCACAACTCCAGATTTCCTTGGAGGGCAGAGATAAGCAGCTCCCAGCTCATTCTTATTTCGGGCCTTGTTTGGCCAGCAAAATATTTTAGTCAAGGAGATGCCTAAAACTGGAAAAGTACCTGGAGAAATCTCTCACACCTTCTCCACTTTCTATCTTTCCAAACAACTTTATGCCGGGTTGGTGGCGCTCTTGTGTTGCATCCGTTTTGTTGCAATCTCGTTGGCCACTTCACCATTGGGATATATGGGAGTGTGTGTGTGTGTGTGTGTGTGTGTGTGTAATTCATGACCTTGGTTTTGATTCCTGCGCTCCCAAACCGAGTGGGAGGAAGACTTTATCAAGGACTCCCTGTCCTCCCATGAACCACGGAGAAGAGAGGCTCTTATCTCCCAGAGGCAGCTTTGCAAATGGCCTTGACTCTCTTATGTCTACGCTAGATTGGGCTACCTGTGATTGCCAGGAAACTGGATGAGGGGTTCCAGGCATGGTGGTGGGGGAGGGGGAGGCGGGACCCCTAGGAGAGGCCACTCCAGGCAGGAAACAGCCATTCTGCCTCTTCGGGGGTGGAGCTTCAGTCCAATTTGGGAGGGTGAGGGGACCACCACGGAGCGGAAACGCTGCTGCCTACCTTCAGGGCCAGGGCCACAGTCATGATGGTCGCGCAGACAGCCATGCCCCCTAAGCCAACCAGGTGAAGGGTCCGACGCCCCGCCCGCTCCACAAGGAAGAGCTGCAGAAGAGGAAGAGGAGGCCGAGGGTTGCCGAGGGCAGCAGCAGACCTCCCTGCCACAGAGAGGGACAGGGAATGGTCCCCAAAACTCTCCTTCAGGGGATGGTCAAGTGGGATCCTGTGGCTGAGACCACCACCCTTGACTTATTTTACAGCACCCCCCGGAATCCCCTCTCAGTAGAGATCCAGTGGGGCGCCACACTTTAAAGGCAACACTCACGTGGACCTCCAGGGCTCATCCAATGGGCACCAGAGGGTGGAATGTCCACCACTCCAGGTCGACCTCTCGGTCGCACTTGAGTCATCTAGGCCCCGTTTTTCCTTGAGCGTCATGGCTCCCCACCATCCGCCCAAAGCTGATCCCCCCCCCCACGGTTTTTCCTGCAAGTCCATCCCGATTTCCAGGAGGGTCTCCCACCTCAGGCCCTCCACCCACCCACCCAACGCAGGGACCTCCCATCCACTGCCACCACCTACCGACACCACAGTGAAGACGGTATTGACCACGCCGGCCCCGATGGTGGCATAAACGGGTTGCTTCACTCCGGCATCTTTGAAGATCCCAGTGGAATAGTAGAACACCTGGAAAGGGGCCGAGAGGGGACAGCGGCACTTAGAACGGGGGGACCATTGGGGACTCTCCTAGCACAGCATCCGCCAGGAGGGCAGGGGAGGAAGGGAGGCGGGCCCTCTTGCACCTCCTCGGTGAGCGCAATCTCTTTAAAACCGGAAAGACGAAGCCAAGCAAAAGCGCCCCGAGGGGCACCCAGAGGAAGCTCCCATGGCGTCACTGCGCCACTGACCCCACAGCCCCTCTTGATCCCTGCAGCAGAGGGTTGGCTTCCACTGAATGGCTGCAATGGGCATCCTGCCTTTTGGGTGCCCCTCTGACGGCTGCTCTCCTGCCTGGCTGCTCTCCTGCCTGCCGGTGGACCCAGCTCCCCTCCCTTCCGCCAGAGATGTGGCTTCCCTCCATCCCCACATGGAGACGGCCGGCCCTTGGAGGAGCCACCCACCGCGTTAATGCCTGAGAGCTGCTGCGAGAGTTGCAAGGCGATGGCGATGAGGATGGCCTGGCGGTAGCTGGGGGAGCGGAAGAGTTCTGGGATGGTGACTTTCTTCTCCTGGGACATCTTGGCGCTTTCCTCTTTCATCTCCTTGATGTCGCTGGACACATCCTGGATGCCACGGAGGCTCTGGAGCACTGAGGGGAGAAGGACACGGGCCGAGTCAGCCCTGTGGCCGCCTCACTCTGGCAGGAGAGCTCCTGTTGGCTTTGTGCCCAAAGGATTCTTCCTGGTGGAGCTCCTCCTCCTGCCCAGGCAAGGCAGCAAAGAGAGAAGCCGAAGAGAGATGACGGACGGCTGCGAGTCCACCTGCCTTGGCCGGGAAGGAGAGGCCTCTGTGCACAGATGGGCTTTTGTGCTGTGCTACCTTCCAGCAGGCCAGAATCTGATCCGCAGAACAAACGGAGAATTGTGCCTGCTGGTTCAGAAGAGGGTCTCACAGAGAGGCCTCCTGTCCAGGATCCGGAGGGAGCGGCTGGAGCAGCCATGAACTCTGTGAGGACTTGGCGGCCTTTCTTTCTTTCAACAGGGAGGGAAGGAGATGCAGGCTCCGAAGTCCGCTGGGCCCTTCCCAGGAACCCTCTTTCCCAGCAGGGATTGCTTCCCCAAAGCCTCCCTTTTTACCGATCCTTCCATTTACGGCTAAAACGCTTTTGGGGTTAACAGCTGCCTGGCAAGACGTTTTGCTAAAACGGGTGCCTGCAGACGCGATACCTTTGGTGGCCTTCTCCTCTTCCATTTTGTTGATCAGCAGGAAACGGGGGCTCTCGGGGCAGAAGGGGAGGGTCGCCAGCTGCAGGAGGGCTGGGATGATGGTGAGCCCCAGCAAGACCGGCCAGAGCCTTTCTGTCCCCAGGATGACATCCAGGCCAAAGACCTGGGGGGGGGCAAGAAAAGAGAGGTGCGAGGGTCAGGCCCCCTCCTCAAAAACCGAAGTGCCAGGAGGGAGCCAGTCAGCCGGGCTTGAGGATTTCCTCCCAGCCTCTTCAGGGCTTCTTCCTGGGGGCTGCTGACCCTCAGGGGCTCCATGGCCTTCCTCGACCCGGAGTGGACCCAGAAGGTCCAAGGGAAGCCCCCCCCCAGCCCCAAATCCCATGGCTCAGATTGAGCTGAGGAATCCTCTCCTCACGGAGCACTGATCTCTTCCCCAGGTATCTGCCCCCCCGGCTGACAAGGGCTCGCTCACCTGGGCCACCAAGATGCCCACCACGATGCCAAGCTGGTTCAGGGTACCAAAAGCCCCCCGCAAGGAAGTTGGGGAAACTTCGCTGATGTACAAGGGCACCAGGCCGGTGCAGAGGCCACAGAAGACCCCAATGATGAAGCGCCCGAGGATCAGCATCTCCATTGCCGAGGCCAGCTTGGAGAAGCCCATCAGGAGGCCAGCCACAATGGCCAGAATGTTCACCAGCAGCATGGAGTTTCGCCTGGGGAGGGAGGGGGAGGTCCAGAGAGAGAGAGAATTGAAAGAAGCCTTAGAAAAGGGCCGAGAGGAGGGGGGACAGAGGGAGCTCTCTGGGGCTCCAGCATAGCCTTCACCGGCCGCTTCTCAGGGCTTCACTCTCCTCCAATCTCTGGGCCAGCGATGCTCTGCCGTTCGTGGCAAGGAGGCACCTGGCATTAGCGCCTGGTGCTGGAGGCCCTGGCCCTGTAGAGATGGCCCCCGCGGGGAACCACGCACAGGCCCAGGAGCTTAATCTCAAGGGCCCCTTTGGACTGGGGGCCCCTCGCCCGCTTTCCCTCTCACGCCCCTCCTGTGCCATTCTTCACTCACCTGCCAAACCGGTTGACCAAAAACCCAACACAGAAAGAGCCAATCATCCCTCCAATTGAGAAAATGGCCACCGAAAGGGACCACAGAGCGGTCAGGAGGCTCTCGGAGATGAAGTGTCCAGTCCGCTCTAGCGACGTGTTGTTGAAAAAGCCCTTGATGATCTGCAAGGACAGGAAGGGAAGTTCAGAGTTTCTGAACCAGAAAAAGACAGCAAAACGTGGGGAAGTCGAGGACCAGGACAGCCAGGAGAAGAAGGGAGCCAACCCACCCACCAACCCAGGAGGCCTCACAGGGCAGACGTTCAAAAGGTCTGAGCCACTGCCCCCCCCCCCCCCCGCGGGCCCCCCGCGGAGGCGGGCCAACGGCCCGGCCCCCCCCCCCCCCCCCCCCCCCGAGGGCCTCCTGCAGAGGAGGGGCTTCTGCCCAAGCCAAGGCCCCCCACCTGAAGAAAAGCCTGCCAATGGGGAGGCTGCCCATTATTAGCCCTGGGGCTGTATTGCCACAACTTGACCCAGAAGGTGTTGGGCTGCTGGCCACCCTACGTTCACAACCCTCCTCCTCCTCCAAAGAGCAAGGCCACATCAGGGGCGAATGATGGTGGCCCGGAGACACCGAGGAGCATTCGAATAGAAGCATTCCTTGCCAATACAACGTCCTCCAATACTTGGACTGAACCAGCACACTGGCTGGGGATATTTTTTGGCTAAGTTGGGACCAAATTGTCTCTCCCAAAGTATCTAGCAGGATCACATTTTCAAGAAGCTCTTTGTGCTCCTCATTCCATTATATGAATGGCTTCTCAATCTGGTTAAACTGAACAACAACAAAATCAGAGCCATCCTTTGTGCGGCTTTGAGAAAAACCTCCAAAAGGATCCTTTTTGGAGACGAGCAGGCCTCAAAGAAACGGCCATCAAAGTGTAGATGTTCCCAGGATTAAATAAATATGGGCAAGCAGAAGACAACAATCAAGGCATCCAAGATTTGAAAAACCAGAACATTCCTTGAGTAGATTCTGCAAGGCCGGTTTTTCCCCCTCAATCCTCATGAAAAACGGCTTTGACTCTCGTGTTACAAGTGTGCTTGCATTTTCATCAGGCAACAGGGGAAGATCAAATGCTTCTCTGATACCCACCAGGTCTGTTCCATGAAACACGGGCTGGTAGATCTAAGAAGCCACGTTTTAATTACTGGTTACTCTTTTAAATGTGCCCCCACGGTCTCAAGTGGTTAACAGGGATGTAAAAACCTTCCTTCCTAAAAGGGGCATTGGGGCTTTGTTAAAACGGGGGGTGGGGGTGGGAGAAGCCCCTCTGCTGCCACCAGCAGCTCCCTTCCCACTCTGGGCTGCAGGGGGCAGCCGGGCAAGGGATCCTCTGCGTGGACACCAGGGGGCAGCAGGAGACAGAGCTCAGAGACTGGCCGGCAGGGGGGAACCAGGAGAGGGGCCTGTCTAGCCGTTATCCTGCCTCCCCCTCCCCTCCATCATGAGCATAGATGGCAGGATGCGGCGCATGAGTCATCCTCAGGGGGAGCGAAACCCACGCATTTCCTCCTCCTCCTCTCGCACCACATCTTGCCCTCCCCATTAAGTGGCCTAATTGAGAGACAAACTATTTCGGAATTCCCTGAGTCATTTTCCTCCCCATTGGGAAAGGAGGCTGGCTGGAGGAAGGGGCTGGGGAGATTTCAGCCGGACATCTCTGCCACCGTCACACATCCTTGGTCCTCCTGCCCCCCTTCTGTGACTCAGCCAATGCCTCCTCCTCTCCTGCTCCTCCCCTCCGCAGGCCCCCAAGGAGGATTCACGGCTGGGCCCGGCCTGGCCATGCTGGGAGGGAACGCCCAGCCCCTCTGCCTGGCATGGTGCCCTCCTTCCTGGGAGAGTCCTTGGGAGGCAGGTGGGTGGGCGGGTGGGAGAAGGGTTTGCAAAGATGCCTCAGCCCACAGACCCTCCTAGCTTGTCAGAGACTTAAAGGAGAGGAAGGGGAGGAGAATATTTTCAGCTTTGCAAGGTTCCTTACAATAAAAGGCCTCCTTACAATAAAAACCGGACTGCCTTTCGTGCCCGGACTGCCTCGCGGGGCTAGTGGGGGGGGGTGTCTTTCCAAAGACCTAGAATCCAAGAAATCCACTGAATCTCAAGCTGAAGATTCTCCACTCCCCACTTATGCTGCTCCTGCGTCTCCGTTGGGGGTGTGTGTGTGTGGGGGGGTCTTGTTCTTCAGTTCCAGATCCTGAGTAAAGGGGATTATTTACCAAAGAAAAATGGAGCTAGAGTGACCCTAATTAAAAATGCTCAACCATGTCCAAAAACGTTGTGACTTGGCCAAGTCCTGCAGAAGGGAGGGTGAATCTCCTAACGCAAAGAGGCAGCTCTTCCACACAGCCAGCAGCCCCTGAGACCACCTGAAGGGGGCTCCTGGCCTTGGCTCTTCCCTTTAGGCAGGGGAGGGTCAGCGGCTGAGACAACCCCAAGATCCCCCCAGGAGCCCTGGAGGGGGGGGGCTCTACCCCCAACCACGGTGACCCTCTGCAGAAACAACCAACCCCCAGCAGCACCAGGCTTCATTCCGAGGCCTGGAGCCAGGAGATGGAGATGGGGGGGGCTACACCTCCCCCATTCCCCACTCTCAAGGCCTCCTCGGCTGCCGCTCTCTCGCTGGTCCTTCCCTGGTCCTTCCCGAAGTGAGGGGGGGGAGGCCAGCTGTTGAGAAACAGCGGCCAGAGCCAGACCCTGCCCGGGTGGGCGGCAGTTGCCAGGAAGGCCGGCCCTTCCACAGAAAGGGCCCTCCGTGGGGAGAGGAGCCCAGCTGTTCGGGAGGCCTCTGACTCAGCCCAGAAGTTGAGCCATTTGGCTCTCAGGGCTGGGAAGGGAAATGCTGGACTGGCCTCCCTCCTGCCGCCACTTCTCTGAGCCGGCCTCCATGGGTGGCAACCCCCCCCCAAGAGGCTCCTCTGGCTCCCACAAAAGCAGGAGAGGCTCCTCCGTCTCCCCTTTTCTGAAAGGCCTCAGAGCAGAGAGGAGCTCTTCCCGCTCTCGCCTGGCCACGAGATCCCTTCCCTCTCCTCAGTCTGAGAGACCAGGTTCTCATCCCTGGGACCTCCCCCCCACCAAGGCCACAAGGCCCCCCTTCTGCCTCTGGGCCGGCCCCCATTCCTCCCCCCCTTTGCTGCTCCAGCAGATTCTCCGG